CCCAAAACATGTGAGCGTTAATGAGTTGACCCCTTTATTCAGAAAGACATAAAGCATGGTAAACCAGTCAATGTAGGCCAATGACTGTTTCATCCCCACCCTCCCCTCTGACCTAAATGTTTTATTTGTGAAAACCAGGAACAAGTCGACGTTATCTCGCTCACACTTCAGCGTGTATAATACGAAGACGCATTGTTCTGATTACTGGCTTCAGGCTCGATGCATATTGATGCATATGATGTTATCTAGCAAAAACAAAAGTACAGAGCAGTACTTCATGAAGTATTTCTGTGACATCTGTTAAGGCGGCTGATCTGATCACTCAGCAGGCACAGACTGTTGACAACAGACACCACAAACCGGGCCGGCTGCTTTAGTTTTCATTTCCTGACATCAATAGGCGACATTATACCATCTGCTCTTTGATACACTTTTTTTAAATTTAAAATTAAAGTAGTCGCTCTCTACTTCACGGTTCGACTTTCGTGGACTTGCTATATTTTTATTTTTCAACGCACATTAACATATTTTTAAAAAAATTAAAAATTGTACAGGACAGATTGTCAACTTTAATATTACTCGTGATTGGGACAGTACTGGATATTGTACAGTAAAAAGTTAAAAAAATAAAAAAAAAACTTCGGACAGGAGACACCATTTTGTAGTTTCCTCTCAATAAGCCTATACTGTATTCCTGCTCATAATGACTACATTTCCCAGAAGCCCCGTGTCCTTCTGCTGAAAAACTACAGGGAAAGTTTTGATCTGATCGGAAAATGGTTGGCGTTTATTACAGTGACGTGCGCCCAGCAGATGCAGAGCTGCACGGAACCCACCAAACCGGACCAGAACCAGACCTCCAGACCCATCTGTGAATTCTGAGAGCTGCTAGCTGGCCCACGAGGACTTCTGAACGGGACGCGCTAGTAAGTAAAATTTAGTAGCTACATATAAGTATGTTGTTAAAATTAGCAGGTTTAAGAGTTTAGAACATTGTGGGATTCGTTGCTGCAGGTTGCATCTGCAGAAACAGAACCGAGTCGGACCAGAACTGAGAGCTGTTGCTGTGTTCTGCAGAGTTTGTAAGTAACATTTAGTAGCAACATATACAGCTGTATACATATACAGCTGTATATGTATACAGCTGTATACAGTATGTTGTTAAAATTTTGCAAAAGTTTAGAACATTGCAAGTGTGTGGGAAGGGTTTCTAAAGCCTTAAAATATATATAAATACTAAAATAAATATAACCTCACTACTTGGCAGATTTTTACTTATTGCAGGAGTCTGGAACGTATCCCCTGCAATAAACGAGGGACTACTGTATCTTAACAGTGGTTATAAAATAGTTAACCAGCTGTCACAAAAGTAAGATGTTAAAACTGTTTTAGTTGCATGTAAATTTATACTTTCTCATGTTAAAGTTTTTTTTATTTTTTAAGTACCTCCATGGTCTGATAAATAGTATTAATATCCCACCAACCACCCAAAAATTAAGACCAAAAAATATATGTTACGGTCAAATTAAACTAGCAAAAATGTAGCATAAAGTTAGCATAGCATCAATTTAGAAGGGAAACAGTAAGCACTGTAAGCATCAATTTATGGGGAAACGGCAAATGTATAGAAACACATCTTACAATGTCGTATTTTGTTTAAATTTTATTCATATTTTGTCATATTACATTTCTTACAGGTTTTTGTCTAAGTCATGATTCAGCAATTTAATTGAGAAGCTAGGTCCACTTGTGTTGATGCTAAGCTAAGCTAACTCTTAAGGACTTCACTGTACACCCCGGTGGTTCGAGTCCCACATTAAAAAAAGAAGCTCATTCTACTCCTTAATATATAAGTTTTTATTACACTCAATTTAAATTAATGTTTGTCTAGTGATATGGTTAATCTCGTGTTCCCAGGCTCCCGTGCTCCCTGGTGACGTCCAACACACACAATGTGAAAAACATGTTTTTCAACTCTACAGCTTATATGCACTTAATAACAGGAAACTGGGCTCACAAGAGGATTAATTTTAGAGTTGAACCCTGCCCCCAAGTCAAATACAAAGACAAGCGCTGGCTTTATGATGTTTATATAGCTGCCCTCAAGCAATCCTTCTACACAAACTACAGCCACTGAGCCGAGGAACATTTGAAACTTCCCACGTACTTTTGATAGTCTAATTAAAGTAAACTCAAGATATAGATTTTTCCCCAATAAGCTGAAAAGTGAGATGGCAGCAGGTCGAGAGGTTCCAGTCGGCTGAAAAGCTTCTAGCCGTGCTTCGTGCTCACACCACATTAAGTTTTAGATGTGAGCATTCATAAAGAGAAGTGCAGATCAGAGTCTGGTTCCTGCGAGCTGCTCTCTCAGACTACATTCACAGCCGAGACCATGTGATCGTTTCAGCCTGCCGCGCGACAAAACTTCACGGTTTCAGTGTCGTAACTTTTATACTCGAAACAGCGCGGCAGATCCCCCGAAAAGAACCATTTCTGTCGGCGTGAACGTGTCTGTTGTGACATCTTCTACTGGACTGAGCATTTCTTGGGTTTCCATCGCCTTGATTTGCTCTCCGGAGGAAGCTTCTCCATCACCAACGCTTTCACCTGATCACACCAAACACAGAAACAAGACTTGGTTCTTGATTTATTTTAATATTCCTGTTTATTAACTTCACACACATTTCTTCCTGAACAACCTGCAGCAGTGATGCCAAAACAAACAAAAACTACTAAATATTGTGACGCCATCAGTGAACTTGAAATATCAATAACTGGTCGCACAAGATTTTCCTTAATGTTTTAAATATCCAGTAAGTTAAAACACAAACCTGCTCAGCATCAAGAAACTCTTTGGACTCCAGCTTAGAAAAGACGAGCTCATCGCCCACAGAAACTTCAAAGCTGTCTGTTGTAGATGAAAATATTAAAAAATGTTACTGAAGTCATGTCCGTCGGTTACAAACTTGTACCACAGCCGAATATTTTTTTTTATTTTGAGACATGTCACTGATTTATTTCTACATTTTACTATAAATATTAAAATAATTACGCCTGTTGTCCAATTTACATCAAACATTTCTCTTTGTGTAGAAAAAGAAGCAGACCTGGTCTTCCTGTGACTCCAGTTACCTTCACATTGGGTAACTGTCTGAGGACACCGGCTAGTTCCTGGTAGCGGAACGCATAACTTCAGTCTTTACTGCGAAATGAAACAGAAAACAAATCAATCTGTGAAAACTGAATGATTATTGGAGAACTTATTGAAAAACAGCTGAAAAAAAAAACATGCTGAAATGTAGAACAAGTGTAAACCAGCATGAGAAAGCAGAAAGAACACAAAAGTGAAATGAGCGCAAAAAGCAAAAAATGTGGAATTAGCTGAAAAAGCTAATATTCGCATAAAACAGCTAAATAGTAGCTGAAATAACTGATTTAAACAGAAATAAGCTCAAAGGATCATAAGTTGAAGTTAGAACTAATTTAATTAGGCTGAAAGTAGAAGAAATTTCTATGAAAAACTTGAATTTATCTAAAAACAGCTGAAATTAGCTAAAATATGCTGAAAGGCTAGCTAAAAAGGTAGAACAATCTTAAATTAGCAGAATAAATCAGAAAGAACATGTTTGCCCAGTTAGGCTGGAAGAAGCAGAAATGAGCACAAAAAGTGGAAATTACCTAAAAAAGCTGAAATTTGCATAAAACAGCTGAAAAGTAGCTAAAAATTGCAAACAGAAGCTGAAATTTCCAGAAGGAAGTGGAGAGCACATTTTTGCTGAATTCGGTGGAAAAAGGTTGAAATGAGTGCAACAAAAGTGGAATTACAGTAGCTGAAAAAAGCTAAAACTAGCATAAAAACAGCTAAATAGTAGCTGAAATAGCAGAAAAAGCTGAAACTTGTATAAATAACCTGAAAGGAGCATAAGCTGAAATTAGCAGAAAGAAGTTATAAGAAGCACAAAAATGTAGTTAGCAGAAAGGGGCACAAAACCGCTGAAAAAACAACTGAAAAACAGCTGAAATTAGCTGAAAGTAGTTGGGGGGGAGTTTAAATTTGCACAAAGAAGAAGCTGAACCAGGACAAAATGTGAAAGGAGCAGTAAAAAGTTGTAAACAGATGTAAATATTTAAAGGATGTAAAATGAGCTCAGTTCATTTCCTTTGAGGAAAAAGTGGCAGAAAAAGCTAAATATTTCAAAAAGCTAAAGTTGCACCACTACCAAAAGTCAAAGCACCCTTTTCCTGAAACAGCTGAACGTTTTCATATACGATTTGTTGAAATACCACAAAAAGTTGTGGAACAAGACGTCAAAAAATGGATCACAATAGTGTGAATGCTTCATAAGCGTTGACACAATAACTCTTTAGACAGAGTTAAACTTTAGGTGACATTTTGTCGTTGAAAGGAACATTGATATTTAAATGCATCAATAAGAGGAACAGGACAAACCTACCAGTACTCGACAGTGATCGTGGTCATGGTTTCACAGCTTCGTCGTGAGCCGGTCTGGAGGCTGTAACCTCTCTGAGCTCAGCTGAGAGAAATGAGATGCTCAGACAGAATTTCACTGTTAGTGAGTTAGCCACACCCAGAGGGAGGTTAGAAAGCTGCTCCCTTCACAGACCCCCCCCCCCCCCCCCCCACACACACACACACACACACACACACTTACTGAAAAGACAGTTTCAGTCCTGGCTGGATTTTGACTGAGATCCTGCGTGCGAAGATGCAAATCCTGCCCTACATGTTCACTGCTCACCTGCAGGACCTCCTCTTCACACAGGTGAAGATAGAGGCTCTGTTCACTCAGCGTGGATCCAAACATGGGGACAAACAGAACCACTGAGTCCTGCAGAACAATGAGCTGCAGTGTCATATTTACATGCATGAAAATAGGTAAACAAATGTCTTACATCTGATGTTACATTCAGATTTACCTCAGCCAAGCTGCAAAAAAAAAAAAAAAACCCACAAGAAACATTAAAGTTTGACTTTTTATTTGTTTAAAATGATGTTCAGTACAAAATGTATACAGTAATACCCTTATGTTTGCGAGTTTCCCCTGAATAAAAGTCCAATCTGTTCAGTTCGTGTCATGTTAAGTATCTAGAAGACACAGACTGGAGTTTGCTCAAACAGCTGATGACAAAGATAAAGCAATAGTACCTTTGTAACAAGAAAAACCATCAGCCATATTCTGCTGGACACATTTTCAATACAATAAAATCACACATCTGTAAAAGCTGCATTGCGATCTGCCCATATTTTACAAGATTTTTAAATTCATGGATTTCTTTTCTTTAGCTAAAAAACAAAAAGGTAAGATACAATTTTGTTTACATAAAAAAAAGAAAGCTCAGGTGTCAAACTGCATTGCTGCAGGCTGCAACACACAAACAAAGCACTGGGATTGTTTTTTCTTTATTTTTTGGTAAAATACATAAACCTTCTGTAGTGACACGGTACCTGCTCATATATCCAGTTCATCTACATATATATATATTTATATATGTGTTCATAAACTTGTATAAAAATGTTTTAAAAACCTCTTCCCTCCCAAAGTTTGTTCTGAAAAGAAAAAGGTTGGTTTGCGTTTGACAGCGATATAGTGGGACAAACAAAACATGATGGTCTGCACGCTCTGGTTTCCATGGAAACGTGTTGGTGACGGACCAAAGCACTCACTCTTTCACACACACAGTCTCTGATCACAGCATCAGTTTCATTGATGGGCGGGGCTCTTTGGCTCCGCCCCCTGGGTTCGGAGGGTCCTCATGGGGAAACGCCACCTTGTCAGGTGTGTACTCGTTCCTCTTCAAATCTAACAGACAGGAAATAAATGAAACAGGATTTATAACTCCTTCTCACGCTGGAATGAAATATGGTGCTTTTACAACGTTAACAAGACTTTTTATTGTCGTTAGTGCTCGATGAAGGAGCGCACATTTATAAAATATAAGTTAACAGAACAAATACACTTCTTAACATTCACACAAGCAGCTCTGGTGTCAGGAAATAAAAAAGGAAAATGATTAAGACTGAACTCCTGCGTTTGTGTTTTCAATTTTAGATAAACCTCCAGACTTAATTATAACTAGAGAAATTGCATTTCCTGCGAAAATGCAGTGTGAATGTTTATTGCTGAAGTAGTTGCAGAAAAACAGCTGAAATTAGCTAAAAACATGCTGAATTGTAGCTGAAGTGGAAGAACAGACTTAAATTAGCAGAAGAAAAACATTTCCTGAATTAGGTTTAAATAAGCAGAAGCTAGCACAAAAATGAAGAAATTAGTTAAAAAAATAAAATAAAAAGCTGAAAAGTAGCTGAAAAGGCAGAAAGAAGCTTAAACTATCAGAAGGAAGCAGAAAGAACTGAAATAAGCAAAAAAAAAAAAAAAAAAAAAAATTGTGGAATTAGCAGAAAAAGTTAAATTTGAATAAAAATCTAAAGAGTAGCTAAAATAGCAGAAATAAACTGAAAGGAGTACAATAAGCTAAAGTTAGCACAAAGAGGTTAATTAGCCTGAAAGGAGAAGTTACCATGAAAAACTTGAATTTATCTGAAAACAGGTGAAATTAGCAAAAAATGCTAAAAACCTAGCTGAAATTGTAGAAGACGCTTAAATTAGCAAAAGAAAGCAGAAAGAACACGTTTGCCCAATTAGGCTCACAGAAGCAGAAATGAACACAAAAAGGTGGAAATTATTTGAAAAAAGCTGAAATTAGCAAAGAAACTGTTGAAAAGTAGCTAAAAAGGCAGAAAGAAGCTGAAATTACAAGAAGGAAGTGGAAAGAGCGCATTTTTGCTGAATTAGGCTGAAAAAAGTTTAAATGTGTTCAAAAACGTGGAATTAGTTGAAAAAGCTAAAATTATCATAAAAACAGCTAAATAGTAGCTGAATAGCAAAAATAAAAAAAGCTGAAACTTGCATAAATAAGCTGAAAGGAGCATAACGCAGTGTTCCCTCAGTGTGGACTGAACTTGGCAAAAGGGCCTTCTCCTACTCCGCTCCTGTTTCCTGGAATATCTTACAAAAGATCTGAAGCTCTCGACCTTGACTTCTCTGAGTGGCTTCAAACATCTGTTAAGTTCCTGGGAAAAACCAATGCAGACATGTTCTTGTTTTTAGTTTTCTACACCGCCTTACAACCTAGCTGTTTTTTTTTGTTACATTTGTTTTTAAATACCATTTTATTTTCACTTGTTATCAATTTGTATGCATCATTTTATGATCGTCTATCGTTCGTCTTTGTTGTCCACTGTTGTCATCACTCTGTTAAAATCAGGTCTCTCTTGTAAATGAGTCACCAAGGCTCACGGGGATTAACCTGTATAAATAAAAGGTTGAATGAATGAAAAAAAAAAAAAACAAGCTGAAATTAGCAGAAAGTTAGAAGAAGCACAAAACAGCTGAAAAACAGCTGAAATGAGCTTAAAGTAGCTGAAAAAAAGTTTAAATTGCACACGGAAGCTGAAAGAAGCTGATGCATAAAACGTAAAAGGAGCAGTAAAAGGTTGTAAACAAAGAGGTCAAATGAGCTCAATTCATTTTCTATGAGGAAAAAATGGCAGAAAAGGCTAAATATTTGAACAACCTGCGCTCGTCTTAAATCCCTTTATAACGAAGGTAAAGTAAACGCACATTGTGGCGTTGCATCATTCAGAGTCTAAACACTAAAAAAAGCACAGTAGTTGGGTTTTTATCTGAAGTTGATGTTTAAAACATTAAAGGGACAGAACAGCAGGTGCAACATCTCACCAGGAAGCTTGAGTTTCCGACAGCAGGAGTTGCAGTGATGCTTTGCACGAAAGTTTCTGATGGCGTCATCTCCGAGGTTGGCAGGTCCAAATATCATGTCGTAGGACCTGCAGGAGTTCCACAGACAGCATTAACAGCCAAGTCGATGGAGAAACAGTGGTTTGAGTCCAAGTTGTGAGGTAAATTAGGACCACTGACCCTTTTTCTCCACTCTTTATAACTGAAGGATCCGTTAGAACCTCCCCAACACCTACAGATAAACAAGTTTCTTTATCAAAGACGTCATCAGGAAACATGGAGCCAAGTCATTTCTTTGGCTCGTGTCACGTTTATGTCGTGAACCTCTCCTCCAGTATTTACCCTGCAGGTCGAGCACCAGGAGCTCTCCCCGGGTGTACTCGTAGGTCCAGTGGCTGAAGGCCAGCATGGTTTCCTCCAGGAGGTTGGTGGGAATGATCTCGTCTCCGTTGTTGTTGTTGAACTTCCTGAACTCGCCGGTGATGCACTCCTCGATGGCGAACCACTGTCCGGCTGAGTGGCAGTACAACAGGTACACTTCAAGGAACCTGAACAGAGAGAGAGACAGCTGAGAGCTTACAGACAGTTTGATGATTAAACTACAACTGGACAGGAAACAAACGCTCAGATCAATAATCTCAACTAAGACCTGCTTCACTTAATGACCAAGTGGAACGACTGGTTTATCACAGTGCATACAAGAAATACATCAAAGCAGGACATGACTGGTCCGGAACAGAGCTGACAGTCCATCTAAAGCCAGAATCAGAGTCCTGATGGACAACATGTTTGTTGAGACAGGTGCAGGACGATAAGACATCTCACTTGAATGAACAAATGTAAACGACTGTCCTGCTCACCTTGGAGAGTAAGGAATCGTCTTTGGCCTGATCTGGTTGAAGGCAAATGTCAGCTTCTGAGCGGCCCGTTGCTGCTGAATTTCCTGAAGTCACAAAAGAAAAAAAAAAACTAGTCCAGAATAAGATTCCTCCACAAACTGGCATTGATCACGTAACTGGAAACATGATTGTTAAGATATGGGCACAAAGGATGATGACGTTTTTGTGATAAAGTCCTGAATGTTTCCCATCTCAGGCCCTTGTTGGAAGAACTTCTGTAGCAGACCAAGTCGTTTCTTACCCTGAGACAAAGATGCAGCACAGTGTCCTCCTTATAGATGCTCTGCCACGTTTGGACCACCTCAGGAAGGAAGGACTTGACGATGTACAGGTGTCCTGGTTTCAGGATGTCGTACTCAGACCAAGTGCAGAGCACCTTGAGGGCCCGTCTCAGCCCCCCGCCCATCTCCTCCTTGCTGAGAAATTCGATTTTGGCACAGAAGCCTCGCTGGGACCAGGAGGACATGCTGTTGTTGATGGTGTTGGGGGAGCTCTCCTCCAGACGGTACACCGTCACCGGCTCTCCTGGAGGAACACGACATCCGACAGTCACACTCTGACTCTCCTCTGATCATTTTAAGGATTGTAAACTTAAAGTCTTATGGATTTTTGCTGCATCACGTCGTCACAAAACGATCTGCGATGCTGATTTTTGCTGCAGACAAACAAGATTTTTCTTGATGTGACTGTAAAAGACATAAAAATCCTCAATTTCTTTCCACTCTTTCTGTTGAAGTTACTTTTAGAAGACGGTAGAAACCAGGAAGCCTTTACTGCTGCACAACGAACTGTAAAATACAGTTTAAATCAGATAAAATGAAACAAATGAGGACAAACATGTAAAAACCAGGATCAGTTTGTCACAAAGACTCAGACTGTTGCAAAAAGTGTAGCTATCAGCTCTGATGTCAGGATGAGGACTGCTACAGCAAAACAGCTGGCATAACCTCACTGACCTACACAAGGCGAGGTCAGTGAACAAGGCCAAGCTGATTCTGGCAGATCCTGATCACCCACTGCATGGTGCGTTCAGGTTGCTTCCTTATGGACGCAGGTATCTGCAGCCCAGATGTAGAACAAACAGACTGAGAAACTATTTAATCCCTGTAGTGATCAGACTTCTCAACAAACAGTGATGATTTCATGTACTGTTATTTTGATGTCTCAATGTCTTGTCTAGTATGAATGTTTTGTGCCAACTGACTGTGAAACAAATTGCCCCTTGGGGATAATAAAGATTCTTGAATTACTATTTGCTTCTCATCACATTTCCATAATATCTGCGGTTACTTCACCTGAAGTGAGATACTCAGACATGTTCATACTTTACAATCCATCGTTCAGAGTCTAAATATCTAAACTTTCATCGACGCCCACATGAATGATCATGTATCTGTGACTTTATGACCTCTGTGAAACAAAGCAGCTTGGCTACATTGTTCTGTTTTATTTAAACGGCAACAAGGAGGAAGCTGTGTGACGAGAAGAAATGTATACTAACTGGATCCTCAAAGCAGCTACACATCAGGTTTTATAGACTTACAGGAACACATTACCTTGAACACAAAAATAGAAATACTTTAGTGGTAACCTCCACTAACCAAAAACACAAAACGATAAATCAAGAATTCATGTATTGAGTCAGACATGAAGAAAACCTTTGATCTTCTTTAACAACTTTTACAGGAACATTTTACAGCCAAACAAACAGCTGACGCATTCAGCAAACAACACCTCCGTCAGCCTTTACATGTGTGTTTAATGGACTTTGATGAACTCTTATAAAACTCTGTTCAGTACAGGCCACTCAGACACACTAAATAAAAAGCTTACTTTGTTATTTTTTTTGTTGCCTTTGAGAGCTTCCACATTTGCATCGGCTACGTTTCCCAGCTTTAAAGAGCGAACCGTGACGATGCCTTATTTCTCTTTCTCCACTAGTTATTGTTACAGAGCGAACCATGAAAGGCACTTCCTCCTTACAAGAAGCTCTGCAGATATGAAACCAAAATAAACTAAAGAAATTGCATTTCCTGCAATAATGCAGTGTGAATGCTTATTGCAGAAGAACTTGCTAAAAACAGCTGAAATTAGCTAAAAGCATGCTGAAATGTAGCAGAAATTGAAGAACAAGAATAAGTTAGCAGAAGAAAGCAGAAAGAACACATTTGCAGGATTGAGTTTAAATAAGCAAAAATGAGCATAGAAATTAGGAAATTCTGCATGGAAGAGAAGCATCTTTCCTGCACAGAGACGGGACCAAAAGATACAGAAGAAACCCTGCAGAACCAGAAGCAGAACCTGGCATTAACCTGAGATTTGTTACCAGAACCATCACACCGCAGGAGTGGTAAATCCCAGCTGACTCCCATATGGACCCTCGTCCCTCTAAGATGACAGGTGAACTTTGAGGAAAAATCAGCCTCTCAGTCACCAGAACATCTGGGCTGGTACCATTTTTAAGCAGCTGTTGGACCATTCCTGACAAATCTCATTCTGGTGAGAGAGAGACTCTTCAATAAACTTTCTGGTGATCATACATCACAATAATCTTGCTTTACACACACTACAGCTCATTTAGACACAAATGTAACTACTCCACAAACAGAACCAGTCCAAAAATCTGCCCTTTTAAAGTTTCACTGACTTGAATAATCAAGTAGACATTTGATACAAAGCTATCTGTTATTCATTTGTTTGTTATGCATAATCTTCATCAGATATATCACAGATTATTTTTGTAATAAAATACAAAAAATCAACTAAATTTGTGATTATTTTGGCATATCTGTGTGTATTAAATGATTTGATGCCCTTTAAACACGAGAAAAGAATTCACATTTCAGTTTACATTTAATTTGGGGTTAGAGACTGATTTTTCCTCTAAAAAGAGGTGGTGCCCACACAACGAGGTTATTTGCATAATAAATGCATATCTCATGAGCTTAACTCATAACTGATAATTTACAATATACAAACCGGATTCCAAAAAAGTTGGGACACTAAACAAATTGTGAATAAAAACTGAATGCAATGATGTGGAGATGGCAAATGTCAATATTTTATTCGTAATATAACATAGATGACAGATCAAAAGTTTAATCTGAGTAAATGTAACATTTTAAACGAAAAATATGTTGATTCAAAATTTCACAGCGTCAACAAATCCCAAAAAAGTTGGGACAAGTAGCAATAAGTGGCTGGAAAAAGGAAATTGAGCATATAACGAACAGCTGGAAGACCAATTATCACTAATTAGGTCAATTGACAACATGATTGAGTATAAAAAGAGCTTCTCAGAGTGTCTGTGTCTCTCAGAAGCCAAGATGGTAAGAGGATCACCAATTCCATCATTGTTGCGCAGAAAGATAGTGCAGCAATACCAGAATGGTGTTACCTAGCGTAAAATAGCAAAGACTTTTAAGTTATCATCATCGACCGTGCATAACATCATCAAAAGATTCAGAGAATCTGGAACAATCGCTGTGCGTAAAGGTCAAACTCTACAGGATGCTCGTGATCTCCGGGCCCTTAAACATCACTGCACCTCAAACAGGAATGCCACTGTCAAGGAAATAACAGAATGGGCTCTGGAATACTTCCAGAAAGCATCGTCAGTGAACACAATCCACCGTGCCATCCGCCGTTGCCAGCTGAAACTCTACAGTGCAAAGAGGAAGCCATTTCTAAGCAAGCTCCACAAGCTCAGACGTTTGCACTGGGCCAGGGGTCATTTAAAATGGAGTGTGGCAAAATGGAAGACTGTTTTGTGGTCAGAAGAGTCACGATTTCAAGTTCTTTATGGAACACTGGGACGCCATGTCATCCGGACCAGAGAGGACAAGGATAGCCCAAGTTGTTATCAACGCTCCGTTCAGAAGCCTGCATCACTGATGGTATGGGGTTGCATGAGCGCTTGTGACATGGGCAGCTTGCATGTCTGGAAAGGCGCCATTAATGCAGAGAACTATGTTCAGGTTCTAGAACAACATATGCTCCCATCTAGACGTCATCTCTTTCAGGGAAGACCCTGCATTTTTCAACACGATAATGCCAGACCACATTCTGCAGCAATCACAACATCATGGCTACGTAGGAGAAGGATCCGGGTACTGAAATGGTCAGCCTGCAGTCCAGATCTTTCACCTATAGAGAACATTTGGTGCATCATAAAGAGGAAGGTGCGACAAAGAAGGCCCAAGACAATTGAACAGTTAGAGGCCTGTATTAGACATGAATGGGAGAGCATTCCTATTTCTAAACTTGAGAAACTGGTCTCCTCTGTCCCCAGACGTCTGTTGAGTGTTGTAAGAAGAAGGGGGGATGCCACACAGTGGTAAAAATGGACTTGTCCCAACTTTTTTGGGATTTGTTGACGCCATGAAATTTGGAAACAACAGATTTTTCCCTTAAAATGATACATTCTCTCAGTTTAAACTTTTGATCTGTGATTTGTGTTCTATTCTGAATTCTGCAATGATATGGAGGTTGGCACCTCCATATCATTGCATTCAGTTTTTATTCACAATTTGTTTAGTGTCCCAACTTTTTTGGAATCCGGTTTGTAAATAGTAACTGACGATATCACATCTTTTACATTTTAAAACTTTTGTTGGATGTAACTGGGTCCCTGTGTACATAATTTCGTGACAAATAAAGAACCTTGAATCCTTGAAATAGCAGAAATAAGCAGTAAGACATTAATTATCATGAAAAACTTTAATTTATCTGATAACTGTTGAAAGAAGCTAAAAATGCTATAACAAAAAGGTAGCTGAAAAGGTAGAACAAGCTTAAATTAGCAGAAGAAAGCAGAAAGAACACATATTTACCCAATTAGGCTTAAAGAATCAAAAATTAGCACAAAAAGTGGAAATTATCTGGAAAAAGCTGAAATTAGCAAGAAACATCCAAAAAGTATCTGAAACATCAGGAAAAAAAAGATTAAATTACCAGTGGTGGAGAGAGCAGATATTTGCTGCATTAGGCTAAAAAAAGTTGTAACTATTGCAAAGAATGTGGAATTAGCGGAAAAAGCAAAATTTAGCATAAAACAGCTAAATAGTAGCTGAAATAGCAAAATAGCTGAAACTTGCATAAAAAAGCTGAAAGGAGCATAAGCTGAAATGATCAGAAACAAGTTAGAAGAAGCACAAAACAGCTGAAAAAGCAGCTGATATTAGTTGAAAGTAACTGAAAAAAATGTTTATATTTGCACAAGGAAGCTGAAAGAAGCTGAACTGGAACAAAATGTGAAAGGAGCAGTAAAAGGTTGTAAACAGATATAAAGATTTGAAGGATGTAAAATGAGTTCAATTAATTTCCTATGAGAAAAAAAAGGCAGAAAAGGCTAAATATTTCAAAAAGCTAAAGTTGCAGCAATACTAAAAGTTAAAGCAGGATTGCCCTGAAAGAGCTGAACGTTGTGATATATTTGTCAAAATAGCACAAAAACTGTGGAACGAGAAAGATGCCCAAAGCATATGGAAGAAAAATGGATCATAATAATGTGAAACAATAAAGCACAGGAAGTGCAGCAGCATCTAGACTCAGTCAGCAAACAGAAGCAGGTGTACAAAAAAACCCATCCAAAGCCAGACCTCGTTTCTGTTTTGATACTTCCTCATTCTGCAACTACCCAACATTTTTATTTTAAAGCCACCTGACATGAAACGTCCAGTTTTACCTCTAGGGGGCACCGGGGTGAAAGGGATGCTCTGAGACAGCCTCATCAGGTTGTTACGCTCCACAGCTACAAGGAAAACAAAAGGAAACAAGTTGGGGAAATGGAGCAAAACTCAGTGGAAGGTTTATTTACACACATCTAAAATGTCAGAAAGAGGTGGATAAATATTTATTAATAAATGTGTGACACTGAAGTCGACCCCTCACCTGAGTATTGGTAGCTTTCCATCGGCTTGAACGGTGAGCCAATCGCTACAAAACAACAAAATTAATATGATCTTAAAAAAACTAAAATAAAACAAGAGGACTTACATACTCAACAAAATGTTATTTAAACTTGGCACATTTATTTTCATAAACAAACCAACAGGAATCACTTGAATCATTTAAACAGGAGGTAAAAACATCAAAATGGTCCAGCGGAGGACTCTGACTTGATTAAAGTTTGACCTGACAGGCGCTCTGATGAACGCCAACACACCTGGAATAAATACGAATACTACTATAGAAAAAATACAGGTTTCAAAACCAGCTTTCAAATGTACAATTTAGAAGTACAGTAGTCCCTCGATACGCTGTGGTTCCACTTCCACAGACTCATTGTTTCGCGGGTTTTCAGCGTAAGGTTGTACACGACACACGATTGGCTGATTGATGGAAGGCGACCAACCAGAGCATTGTGCTCTGTATCCCGGGAGCTGATTGTCTCAGTAGATCAGTCTGTCTGCGCTCTTTCACTGTGCTCTTTTGTGAAATTTTCATAGGAGACTGAATTTATTTCAAGCTCTACAATGCCACATAAACGTTCTGCGCATACTAAGGTTTCAGGCAGCGAACATAAGGAGTCAACTTTAATATTACCGGCACTCATATGATTGGGACGTTACGGGATAAAAAGTTAACTGGAGCGGGAACCAATCATAGGACAAAAAACAAACAAAAAAAATACTTTGGACAGGCGTCACCATTTTGTAGTTTTCTTTCAATAAGCCTATACTGTAACGCAAGTCAAAAGAACTACATGGCCCAAAAGCCAACAGGGCTTCAAATTCAAAGAACAGCAATGGAGGGAGCAAACACTAGCGGAGAAACCGATGTGGCAAAAATAATTTTACAACACAAAGTCAGAAGTAACAATCCATCTATGAAGCTCACAGAACTGACAGGAACGTCTCAAATAATCCTGAAGTTGAACTCATCCTTCAAGTTGTAGTAGTATCTTCACCGGTGAGTACCAAAATAAAATTATGCAGTACAGTACAGTACATATACATACGTTGTTAAAATGACATGTTTAAGAGTTTAGAACATCGCAAGAGTGTAAGAAGGGTTTATAAAGCCTTAAAATATATATATAAATACTAAAATAAATTCAGGCCTCTCTTGTAAATGAGTCCTCCAGGTTCAATGGGATTAACTGTCTAAATAAAGGTTGAATGAATGAAAAAAAAAAAAAAAAAACATTCTTCCTTCACAGATTTTCATCTATTGCTGTGGTTTCTGGAATGTAACCCCGGTGATGATCAAGGGACTACTGTAAAAACATTTTACTCGTGTACCTATGTGACTAACTATTGGGCATGAAAGTTACCAGTCTAATCTTTATCTCAAGTCTGTGGTTTAGGTGTGTTTTAAACAACAAACCATCTAGTCCATAATGTTTCAGGTCAAAAGGAGAGAGCATAAAGTACAAACGTTAAGAAAGAAAAGTGCAAAAAAAAAAAAAAAAAAATCTCTGTTTTGTATAAATAAATAAATAAATGGATATTTCAGTGAGTTTGAGTTTAGCACAACTACATCTGAAATAATAAAACACTTTCAAAGTTCTCCGTTTGTGCAGTTCATGGTGAATGTTGCTGATACTCACAGTCCTTCCGGGCACCGAGGTGGGGGTGGTGTGCGGCGTACAGAGGAACTGCAGCTGGAACCACAGAAGAACGACAGAAACACACAAAGTGAGACACATACACAACAGTTTTTATTTTTCATCTTGGCTTGCTGAGATTGCATTTCACAGCACAATCAGGCTGCTAATCCCAAATCTAAACTGAACACATAAAACTTATCAAAGAAACAACATGCGCCATGTGTCTGCAAACGCTTGGCTCAAAAGAAACCGAGAGGTCAAAGGTCATGGTTTATAAAATGCCATCTGACTCGCTGATCCAGGCAGAGAAATTTGACTAAATTTGATCCTGCAAACAGAGGAGCTTCAGTGAAACGTCTTACTGTTCAGTGAGTCTTCCTCGGGTGGTCTCCTAAAACAGAGGAAAGACAAACGGGTGAGAAAACAGAACTCAGCTTCTCGTTTGGTTTTTATCAGAGGTTTCGTCAGGACAGTTTTCAGATTTGTGTATTTCTGTAGTGGCCAGTGAAAAGACACTTACAGGCTGCTGGCTTGAGCTGATTTGACCTGAATTCTTTCCTGACAGAGAAGAAAAATGTTAAAATGGGATTTCTTTTTTCTTTAGACTTAAAAAAAAAACAAAGTTCTTACAAGTACTGCAGCTCTGGGGATATCTTCAGCAGAAACTCTGCTCCGGTCCTTCTTTGTGAGAGCTACAAAAACAAACAACCATGATGCGTCTCAAATCAGCCAAGACTTGAAGATCTCAAGCCAAAATGATAGATTTTTCTTTTGTGATCTTACTGGAGTCAGGGTGAAGAAGAGGGGGCTTTCTGTCAAACTCAGTGAAGCCGGCGTACGAGTTGACCGCCCTGATAAGACCGGGCCCTTCAGCCTGTAGCCACAACAACACAAGGAGATGAGGAACACTTTGAGAAGGACAGAATGGTCATATTTTACAAGCTAAATAAAAGGTAAAATAAATAAAAATAACACTAGTCTCGTTAACCAAGCTGTGGAGACAGATTTGTCAGAAATGGGAACTAAAACAAGGAAATCCTACATTATTATCACATCTATTATTAGGCGTTTGGTAACACTGAAAATGGAAAATTTTGAAGTGTTAAAGCAGAATAGATAAAAAGAAGCTGCAGACTTATTTGTAAAACATAAAATGTCACCGGGCTGGGACTGTTGGTGAACAGTACTCACGATGGAGACTCAAAATGTCTGGAAATGTTTGTGGGGGGTTTCAGATTTTCTTGTGTTCAGTCCCAGAGGCTCACAGTTTTGCCAATTTAATTCTGAACAGTAACTTGAGCAGCAAACTTTCTCCTAAAATAGTGATCGACGTTGCAAACATCTCAAACAGATCTCAATACATAGCTCTCATGTGACATAACACATCCGAGCACTTTGTCTCTAACCGACATCTTTGTAGGCACGCATTAGCTGCAGACACGGCTGAGTAAGTTTAATCAAGTATTTTTTCTTTACGCAAACTGCAATGGTTGTTTCGTGTTGGGTTAGAGGGTTCGGCAAAGCTCAGTTTTTACTATAATCCAAATATCAGGAAATGTGAAGGACCTTAAACGTAGGAGCTTTGGACAAAAGACGAAACATGTCATCAAGAAGAATCCATCCAGAGGACCTGACTTTACTTTTAGAGATTTTTTTTAGGAGCTGAGTTCAGATTGTTGTCGAGCCTGTCTTGAAAATATCAACCGCAAGGATCCACCTTTGAAAATATCAAGAATCTGCTCCCATCACTTTTATCCAGTAAACAAAAATATCCTAATTATTTTGTTACAATGTCAGAGTGTAACTGCATGTGTGCTGGGACTGCTCTGCTCATGATTCATCACGTCTCTGTAGTTAGCTCAGCTATGCTACGTGCTAAACCTCCACACTGTAACACTCACAGCAACAATGTCCTGGTTCTAGTCCTGAGTTGAGCCTAGGCTCATTTGGTTATGAGTTTTCATGTTTATATATTTTTTTAACTTTATGTAACCAGTTAGATCTGAGACTTAAAGATCTTTTTTTTCAAGAGAGACTGGGTCAAGAGCGGCAGCAGCACACAAACATTCCCAGTCATAAAACCAGAGTTATTAAAGCACACTTAAAACAAATGACGGTAAATAAAAAAAAAAAATAAAAAAAAACAACACACAAAAAGCTTAAATTTGTACTAAAATGTGATTAAATATCAGTTAAAGCATTTACAAACAAAGGCGTCAATATTAACTTATGCATTTAATGTACATAATTTTTGAAAACTGTAACATTGTCAGACTAGAACTATCAACTTGTTTTGATTTGCGCCCCCTCCCCCCCAAAAACCCCTCGTATGAATAAAGCAGTGGGATGCTGTCTGTACTGAAAATATTCTATAACACAAGTTAATATTTTGGGTATTATGTTCTATATTTGTAGTGTTTGTTCTATTGAATTATTTCTTTCTTCAGGAAGGCCTGCAGACTTGTAGGACAAGTCAAACCCAGACTGGCTGCTACACTGAAGTTGACAGACACACTTCTAGACCGTCAGCAAAAGAACTTCAACAATCGGAGTCAAAGCAGAACAGGTAGAAAAGTTAATAACACTTGCAAGTGTTATTATACACTGCCTGGCCAAAAACAAAAAAAAGTCTCCACCTGGATTTAACTAAGCAAATAGAGGTACGAGCCTCCTATTGAATAATTACTGCATGGGTGATTATCTTTCAGCTGGCAACAAGTTATTTAACCCCAACTGGTGTAATGAGTTTCTTCTCAGTTCTTAAACAACCATGTTGAAAGACGTATCGCGTGGTCGTGGAAAAGATGTCAGTCTGTTTGAGAAGGGTCAAATCATTGGCACCAAGCAGAGAAAACATCTAAGGAGATTGCAGAAACTACTAAAATTGGATTAAGAACTATCCAACGCATTATTAAAAACTGGAAGGATAGTGGAGACCCATCGTCTTTGAAGAAGAAATGTGGCTGGAAAAAAATCCTGAATGATCGTGATCGGCGATCACTTAAACGTTTGGTGAAACCAAATCAAAGAAAAACAACAGTAGCACTCAGGGCTATGTTTAATAGTGAAAGTAAGAGCATGTTCACACGCACAATGCGAAGAAGGGATTGGGAAAAAAGGCTTCAATTTGCTAGGGAGCATAAAGATTGGACTCTGGAGCAATGTAAGAAGGTCATGTGGTCTGATGAGTCCAGATTTAGCCTGTTCCAGAGTGATGGTGCATCAGGGTAAGAAGAGACGCAGGTGAAGTGATGCACCCATCATGCCTAGTGCAACACTGGATGGAAATAGATCTTGTGACATTGCAGAAGCTTATCGAAACAATGCCACAGTGAATGCATGCTGTAATCAAAGCTAAAAGTGGTCCAACGAAATGTTAGTGTGACCTCTTTTTTTTTGGTGGTGACTTTTTCTTTTTTGGCCAGGTAAGTTAAGTGTTATAGCACTGTATTTATTATATTACATTATTTTTGTTTAGTGGATCCTTGTATACTGTTTTTTTTTTATACTTTACACTTTTACTATTTTTGAGTGTAACTGGGACCTTGAATACACAATTTCTTTCCACCTTATGTACCACATGTGATGTGAATGACAATAAAAAAACCTTGAACCTTGAAGCAGCACAATAATTCTTAAAGTATTAAAGTGAATCTAAGATTAAAAAAAAAATCACTAAAACATCTATAAAACTGAATGAATATCTTCTGAATTAGTTAAGTGGTAGTAGCAACTGAATTAATTTATTCTGCTTTGAGTAGGAAAACTTGTCTTACTTTAGACTTTGTGATGCAAACATGACAGTGTTTACTAATGTTTATTTGTTTGCTTGTTTTTAAAGATACTCATGAGTGAGTGACCAAGTTCGATCATAAGAAAATATCCAGCGTGCGCAAGCTCTCCTAGACCTGGGTACGGTCTCAGATCCTAGACCTGGGTACGGTCTC